AGAACTGTATACAGGACTCCCAGAGTCACTGTCAGAGAACTGTATACAGGGCTCCCAGCGTCACTGTCACAGAACTATACTATATGCAAGGCTCCCAGTACAAAGAGGCACTAACCTGAGTCAGCAGCACAAGCGCTGAGAGGTTCTCGGAATGGGGTTGGATGAACAGTTGCTTCAGATTCTTGATCTTTCTGTATTTTCTCCCCTGAACATGTTGCTTCATCACATACAGAATAAATAAACTTTTTTGTTTTCTTCTTCAAAGTGGATATTAGCCCTGCATTCTTCAGAGGTACAGAAGGCTGTTTGGGGGTGCCTGGGCAGCTTCCACTAGCAAATGCAGGTGGACAGAAGGCACCTCGGCTCTGGGAACCAGCAGCATCTCCTTTCAGGCCACTTCTGGGGGTTTCTGGTTCTCCTGTGAAGTCTGGATCAGCCATATCACTGGGGAGAACTGCCCCTGAAGCCTGCTCCAGCCGTTCACTCATCTGGAGAAGACACTGCTGGAGACACTGAGGGGGAGCTGTTACAGGGGAAGTTCCAGACGCGGTCTGCGTGGCTACAGGAATGGAGTCCTTCTGAGACCCTTCACAGTTTGGATTCACCACGGCTTCTGGCGGACGTGAAATCTGTGGCCGAGAATATTCTGGAGTTGTGAAGAGGGCACAGTCTTCTTCTGCTTTGACTGAGTCTTTGTCACGAGAAGAGCTTGGTGGGGAGGATATTTTCTCTACCTGAGTTACATTTAGGCCTGAGAGAGTTAGTGGAGACCATTCCAAGGCTGAAGGGGCTGCAGCCTTCTTGGAGGCCGTACCTCGAAGGCTGCCAGTGAGCTCCTGGGCTGGTACAACGCAGCAGAACGGATCACTGTCCTCCGGCTCACGGTCTAGTGGCCCTCCAGCTGCTTCATGTTCACTAGCTTTTCTGTCAAGCTTTCTTTTCTGTGCGTTTCCTGTTTTACATTTAGTAACACAGAATGTAAAGCTCTCTTCCTGAGAAAGGTCTGTAATTGTGTCAAGTCCTTCTACGACACTCGGCTCTGACCTTCCCACATGGTCATCATGGCTATTCACCTCATCAAATAAATTCCCTAGGTAAAATGGAAAAGAGAAGCACCGTAAGGAAACAGCATTTTAGAACACAAAAGGCTTATACTATGCTTTCATTTCTAATAGAAAAAGTATATGCTACCATGTCCATGATTTATCATTGAAAAAACTGTTCTGAGTGCTAGACGTCATGAATTTGGGTAGTCACCCGTGCCCTGGAGTGTTCTGGGTGAATACTGACCCCCAAGCCCTTAATTAACATGCTGGTGGCCTAGTGGTCTCCGTTTCCCAGCTGTACAAGGTTAAAACTCATCTCATCTTACGACAGAAACAATTTAAAAGTTGAAAATCCATCAAACCAGAAGCTTCAAGTCAATTTTGTGGACTTTAACAATCTAGGATAAAATCTTTTTTCATCTCATCTCTCTCACATACACTATATATATTTATATATATAAAATATTTATATATATGCTAGCACATACATATACATAGAGAATATATCTATCATATACACACAGAGAAAATTAAATGTATGTATGACAGCACACACACACAGAGGGAATTGTGTGTATATATGAGAATATACAGAGAAGTTGTATATCCTAATACTCACATGGAGAAGGCAGTCTGATTGCATGTGTGTACACACACAGACACATACACAACAGTATACATATACCCGCTGATAATCAGAATATATTAATACAGATATACACCAAGAAAAAGGCATTTTCATGAGCTAGCTAATAAGATTTGTTTTTCCAAATAATAAATGTCATTTATTTTTCTCACAATTTAAGAAATGTGAACATTTTATCATTTAGCCACAGCCTTCACTTTCAGGTAACTCCTTCATTGGCTTTCAATTCTCTTTTAAATAATATACTCTTCTTCCCAAAGGTAGTTTTTTTGTTGTTCCTTTTGTCTAGATAACATCCAACCAAAAATCCTACAGGGACGAGCAAATGAACCCACTAGTCACATACTATGTTCAGTAAATTCATGATTTCTGTGGCCCGGGTGCCAACGAGGATCCCACAATGAAGGGCAGCCATGAGCTTAGTTCAGCAGCTAATAAGACTTTGATTTTATATATATACACTCACACACACTTTTATTTATTTCCTAATTAGAAATTAAGGCTTCTCTTTTTGCTAACTGTAAGGTTTATTTAGTCTTCAACTCTGAGGCTTCTGTGTACTGAGTTTTGGTTGTCTGTCAAAATTGTTATGTGCCATTAAGTCAACGACAACTTAGAGCAAGTCCACGAACAGCCCTACCTGCAACTCTCACCATCACTGACACCCTGAATGAATAGTACTGTTTAAGTATGATGTTTAAACATTCTCCCCAAAATCAAGTCCTTCTGTCTCCTTGACACCTTGAGATAAAACAGGAATCAAAGAGGGAGAGACAGCGTCCTCTGTCAAGTAAAGCAGCGACGCCTGGCGGTGCCCCGGAGCAGCAGCACAGCAAGCAGACACAGGCCCTTACCTCGGCTTACTCCCTCCTCTTCATTTTTATTCTCATTGTCCAGCAAAGAAGGGGTGGACAGCTTATTTTTCTTCAGATTTTCATTAGGGTTAGAAAAAGAGTGTTTGGAAATCTGCAAAAGTTATATACATTAAAATCAATAGTAAAAGAATTCATAGTAAGGCAATTAGAAATATACATATACATATATGCCTTTGGGTTAACAGAACAATCGCCACTCCACTAGGCCAGCACAGCTTGTATTTCTCTATCTCCACCGATCAATCTCTGTGCACTCATCGACCTCCCAAACGAAACTCACTGCAGCTGAGGCAACCTCCACCCATGCTGACCCTCCAAGGCTGTCTGTCTTTATGATGGAGACTGTCCATCTTTCTCCCGAGGAGCAGCTGGATTTGAACCACCAATGTTTCCGTTAGCATTCCAATAAGGTATGCACTGTGCTACCAAGTCACCCCCCCACCCCCCACCCAGTATTATCCACACCATCTCTCTCTCCTTACAGAGTACACATATTTGGTAGTATCACCTATTAGCAGAGCAGAACTAAAGGTTGGTGGTACGACGAAAGAACTTGACCAAGTCCTCCCTATCTGGTTCCACTGCAGCTCCCCAACTCATAAATGTCTGTGTGTGGATCTGTGTGTACACAAGGAAGCTCTAGATCTAGTATGTTGGGAGTTTGACTGCTAACTCAAAGGCCATGTCTCTCTGGCTCTTGGAATCTCTTGTGGCTCAGAGAGAGAGAGAGACAGGCATTCTCCCCTCATGTGATTTATGCCTCAGAAACCCAATGGAGTTTTGGTGACCTGTAAATTGGTTCCAATGCTATAGCAATGAGTAAGTGTAGGTGTACGTACGTACGTACACACACACACACACACACACACACACACACACACACACACACACAGAGAATCACTGAACTGGAAAATGCAACCTGAAGAATTTACCAAGTCAAGCAAACATTCTAAGCCACTTCATAGCACTATCAATTTGTCACATTTACTTACAGCAGTTGAATCGCTGGGAAATACAGTTTCAGACTGTTTATCATCTTTGGCTGTGAAAACAGAAATTCACGATATATACATTACATACCGAACACTAAAGACAATGAAAAACATTTTACTACACTGAATGAACAGGCAGGTATTTTTTTTTGTCAGATGGCACATATACTTTTGGAATAAATGACACATTTCAAACAAATGACCTGACCCAAGTGCCCAAGTATAACAATGAGAAAGGTGAACTGCCACAGGTAATGAGCTTCATGCAGTCCTGAATGCGCCTCATCAGGTGGAAGAGGACACGGCCTGGTGACCTTGACATCCCTGCTGCCTTTAGCCCAGGGTTACAGCACACTGTCCACTGAAATGCTGACGTGTGGAGATGCCAGCATTCATTCAGACAACCGTGCAGTCTGCAGGCACGTCAGAGAGCTCTAGTGGCCGACTGGTCAGCACTGTGCTGCCAGAACAAAGGCACACGGTTTGAATCCACCCACTGCACCATGGGAGGGAGGAGGACAAGCCCCTCCCACGCTGCGTCAGTTCCAGCTGACAGTACAGAACAAAGGCACATGACATGCTTAGTATTTCCTAGTGTTCAAACAGTTTCTAGCTTTAAGTGAATTACAAAAGGAGAAAAGAATTTTATTCTTAGAAAGTGGCATGAGAACGCTCTAAGTGTTAGCTAGATTAGACAGAAGACTTTTTAAAGTGAAATCCAGTTTTGGCGTAAATGATTTTAAACTCAAGCTATGCACAGAATTTACTTATATATTTATAGTTACATATTCATAAAATACACACACATATGACAAAATTTTCATAAATCATTTCAGCTAATCAAATGGTTGTACAATTTCAACTATGAGATTTAAGATTTCAACTTAGTACCACTGATAAGGCAGATCTGTGAAACAGTTTTCAATGAAGAGAAAAGAAGAAATATAATTTAATGGTTTTAGGAGAACTGGTGGCAGAGAGGGCTAAGTGTTGGGCTGAAAATCACAAGGTTAACGTTTCAAATCCACCTGTGTGTTCTATAGGCAAGAACAAGGCAGGCTTCAGATTTACAGCCTTGGAAACTGAAGAGGCTGCCGTGAGTGGGGACTGGCTCCAGGGTATCGGGCCTGGTTTCTTTAACATCCACAGTACAGAAATGACTTCTGAAAAACTCGTAATTTCACACCACTGATGTTTTTGTTATGTACCATCAGGTTATAAAAGACCCACAGTTGAGCCTCCAGTGGTTTTCAGAAGCAGTAAATTGCATGGGAGGAGACTATCCATCCTTTTCCCACAGAGCAGCTGGTGGATTCAAACGGCATACCTTCGCATTGGCCACACAATTCCTTACCACCAAGCCACTATAGCCCTCTTCTCGTCAAATGCCAGCTCTTAAATGCTTACAAGTCAGTGAGATTCTGCAAGGCTCTCCTCGACCGCAGACGCACACTAACCAGAAAGCTTGACTCCTGGAGAAGCCATCAAAGCGCTTAGGACCCACGCCATCCGCACAAAAGGGTCTATACTACCAGCACTGCCAGAAAGACAGTACCCAGAAGTGTAACGATGGCCAAGGTTCATCAGTGTCATTTATCTTTTCTTAGACATTTGCCAGCATACCTAATAGCACAGTAGAACTAAGAGTTGGTGGTGTGGCCAAAGAACTTGACCATGACATATCTGGGTCCACCTCAGCTCCTAGACTCTCAGAAATACGTTTTGGTGTTTGACCCTGGAAAGAAAACAGTTTATTAAATACGTAAGTATGTCTACCATGCACTGATGAATGAAAAAGCTCTGCTCCCGTTTTCTTCCGGATTATCAGTGAATCCTTTAAGTCATCTCCTTTGAAGGCTTTAGTTTTCTCAACCTCAGTCATCTACTCCTGAAAGGTCCCACCCTTGTAAACCTCCACGCCTGGGCCCACCGAGTCAGAAGCCACAGTGCCCAACACTCCCTTTGTGAGGGGCACCCAGGAAGGGTATCTCACTCACTCATGCTTCTCAGGCATCACTGAGACCAGCGAGGCAATGGACCAGGTATCCACAAGGACACCTCGGGGCAAAGGTATGACGCTGTTAGCCGCCATCAAGGTGGCATGCGACCTGTGGTGACCCATGACTGGGAGCAAAGACCAGTGTGGTCACCAGCTTTCCACTGGCCGATTTGGAAAGGACTTTCCCAGGCCTTTCTTCCTAGCCGAGCTTAGTCTGGGAGCTCAGACATCAGCTCAGCCCCACTGCACAGGTAAGAGTCCACAGGCAGACAAGCACCAGCTGGGCAGGAACACCTTGGCCAGGGACTGAAACCTGCAGCTCCCTGTCATCAGACTTTCTCACACACCACAGTAAAAAGAAACCAGGCAAACGCTTACCTTAGGAAGTTTTGGCGTATGAAATAAACTCCCACACACCACTGGAAAGGAAAAAAGAAGAGAATTATTCAGCTTCCATATAATGACATGACTACTTTTCTAAAAATAAAGTCTTGTTCCTCATACCTGACTTTTCTCTTTGTGGTGTTATATGCACATATCGCACGAGAGGACTGAAACAAAACAAAAGTCTTGGATTATTTAAAAAAGAACAGAATCAGAAAAAGCAACAAAACACTAGTTCACCGGATGTGGAATGAAGATGCCATCACACCAACTGTTAGAATTATACTCTGAATATTTTTATACTTCTCAAAAATCAAATATTCCTTTTAGAAAGTAGCTTTGAGGAATTAAGTCACCACCAAGCAATGTTTAAATGTCCACAGAAAGTAATGCATAAAACGCATATAAATTTCAATTACTAGAAATTTGTACTCAAAACTTAAAAATGAAAAAGGTACCTGCTTTGTGCCATCATATTCTTGCCAGAGACTTACAGTATTGTGGTTGCTGTTATGTGTTTGCTGAGCTGTCTGCAACTCAAAGCGACCCTAAGTGCAACAGCCTTAAACCCTGCTCTATCCTGTGACAACCTTCTTGTCTCTGACACACCTACCCCCACCACCTCAGTGACTGAATCAATCTATCTCATCCAAGGTCTTCCTCTCCTGCAATGTCCCCTCCACCTCCCAAGCATGATGTCTCTCTCCAACGACTGGTCCCACATTGCAACATGTCCAAAGTATGTCAGATGAAGCCTCAGAATCCTAATCCTTGCCTCCAAGCAGCCTGGTTTCACCCTCTCCAGGATGAACCCATTTGTTCTCCTAGCAGTCCATGGTATCCTCAATACTCTTCTCCAGCACCACAACTCAAAGGCATCAATTCTCCTATCCTCCCTAGTCGTTCTCTCTCTTTCTGATGCATAGCAAGTGATTACAAAGATTATATAATGCAAGGACTATGGTTTGGATGAGGCTCACCTTAGTCTCCAGACTGACACTGTTGCTCTTTACTACTCTGGAGAGGTCCCTGATAGCAGACTTTGCCAATGCAATTCGTCTTTTAATTTCCTGCTGCTGGTAATTTTCAAGAGTGCAGAATGTGGAGCCAAGCAAACGAAAGCTGTTAATAATCTCAATCTCTTCACCATCTACGATGGTGCTGTCAATCGGCCCAGTGGTGAGAATCTTTGTTTTCTTGAGGTTGAGCTTCAATACATGTTGAAGGCTGCAGTCCTTGACCTTCTGCAGCTAACACCTGAGGTCTTCCTCAGTTTCAGCAAGCAGCGTTGTGTCATTTGCATAATGCATAATGTTATGAGTCTTCCTTCAATCCTGATGCCATATTTCTCCTCATTGAACCCAGGTGCTGGATCATCTGTTCTGCATATAGATTGAAAAGGTATGGAGATAGGACACATCCCTGGTGCACACCCTTCCCAACTGATTACATCTGTGGAAAGAATCACTAGAGAAGCTCAACATCAGCTGTGAAAACTAGGCTGGGTGCTGAGTGGACAGCCACTGACTCATATGCAAGTTCAAGCTGAAGCTAAGGGAAATGAAATCAAATCCATAGGAACCGAAGTCTGACCTTGAGTCTATCCCACCTGATTTCACAATCACCTTAGGAACAGGTTTGAGGCCTTGAACATTAATGAATGAAGACAAGAGGACCTGTGGGAGGATATCAAGAATAACATCCAGGGGGGAGGGGTGGGCAGGGAGGAAAATGTGCTACAATGAATAAATGAAAATCCATGTTCTCTATAAACTTTCATAAAAATATCAGGAATAATAATAAAAAAAGACAAACATCCAGAAGAATGCAAAAGGTCATTACAAAGACAGAGGAGGAAGAAAAGACCAAGCTGGATGTCAGAAGATAATCTGAATATTGCAATAAAGCACCAAGAAGCAAAAGCAAAAGAAAGAAATTAAGGAGCTGAACAGAAGATTACAAAGCACAGTACAGGAAGACAAAGTTAAGTATTCTAATGTGCAAAGAGCTGTAGTTAGAAAATCAAAAGGGTTGAACTCACTCAGCATTTCTTAAGCTGAAGGAACTGAAGAACAAATTTAAGCCTCCAGTTGCAATACTTAGGAATGCTTTGGGCAAAACAGGAAATGATCCACGAAGCATTAGAAGAAGATGCAGAGTATACAGAGTCATTGTACCAAAAGGAATTGACAGACCCAGAAAAATGTCATGAAACAATGTATAGTCAAGGGCCTGGGTGATGAAGGAAGAAGTTCAAGGTGCTCTGAAAGAAGTGGCAAAAAACACGGCCCCAGGAATTGATGGTATACCGATTGACATATTTCAACAAACAGACACTGCCCTGGATGCACTCACCAAGTTGTGCCAAGAAATCTGGAGGACAATCACCTGGCCAACTGAGAGGAAGAGATCCATATTTGTTCCCATTCCAAAGAAAGATGATCCAACAGAGTGTGGAAATTACCGAACAATATCATTAATATCACATGGAAGCAAGATTCTTCTGAAAATTATCCAAAAACAACTGGAAAAAAACATCTACAGAGAATTGCCTGAAGTGCATGCTGGGTTTAGAAGAGGCCGTGGTACTAGGGATATTATAGCTAAAGTTAGATGGGTCTTGGCTGAAAACAGAGTACCAGAGGAATGTCTATCTGTGCTTCTTTGACTATGCAAAAGCATTTGATTGTGAATCACAACAAACTGTGGCTGACTCTGAGGAGAATGCAAATCCCAGAACATTTGATCATGCTTATGCAAAACCTATACTTGGGCCAGGAGGCAGTCGTCAGAACAGAGCAAGGAGATCTAAAGCACTGAAATACATTTTAAACTGACATATCCAACACTGCGGGCTTTCTCCTACCGCTGTCAGGTACTGGAGAATCAGAACCCGCCCACAGCTGACCTCCCAGCTGGTTTTCAGAGGCAGCGAATCGCAGGGCAGGAGCCGGCTCAGCCTCCTCCCACAGAGCAGCGGGTGGCTCAGAACTGTGTACTTTTGCATCAGCAGTGCAATTTCTTAGCACTAAGCTATGACAGCTCCCTTTCTATCATCGTTTGTGATTTAACACAGAGTGGGGGAGGGAAGGCTGCTATTATTATTATATTATCAATATTAATTTTAATGTTAGTTTACAGAGACTTTGGATTT